GAACTGTACACGTCCGGGGGTCAACTCTTCTCCTGTCTATTCTTCCAATCCTTCTGCACATAATACACTCTTCCTACCACTCGGGCCTTTACCATCACTTCTCGCTTCTCCCAAGGAACCGGGCCTGGAAGATCATAGCTGTTAGGGTTAACCTCACCAGGCCTTAACACTTCCTCGATAACTGGTGACCCCGACGTGTTCTTCCCGATAATAGTGATTTCCCGAAGTGTCCCCTCGATAACTGATGACTCCGACGTGATTAAAACTCTCAACTTCTCATGTGGCCAAGTTTAATCATCATCAAACCTTCCTTGCCTTCGACTGATTTTTTCCTGTGTCATCTTATGCGGCCGCGATATGGCGAATTTAATTACCGACATCCTGTTGTGAAGTGATAGGTTGATCCTCAACCGCTCACAGACCATCGACTACAGGCTATGGTTACTTCCCCACCTTGCAGAGCAGTTCCCGCTATGAGTGCCAGCACCCAAACCTCCTTTCCAATGTCTGGTTCTACTTCTACTGCCAACGGTATCCCTCCTTCCCCAACGCAACCCACACTGACAAAACATACTGATTTGCCGCTGAAGTTCAATTCAGCCCACCTGGCCCAGTCCCACGTAGTGGAGATTACCAATCTCTTGCCAATGCACACTTAGTCGAGAACACGGAAGCCGACCTGTAGGCAGAAACTAAGGTGAAGTTAGACATGCGGCCGTGAAAGTACTCTCAATGGTACTAAATCACACAATTTATAAATAAATAAATCGTGTGGTTTAGCAGCCATGAGAGTACTTTCACGGTCACATGACTAACTTCACCCTAGTTTCTGCCTACGCGCGAATGCCAGCAGTCGACCAGGGCCATAAAATGCCTAGCTGCAACCGTAAAAATAGATTAAAAGTGATTACAGTGATTACAATGGACGAACTGAGGCAGAGGAATTTTAACCCAACCATCTTATAGGCAACTTTAGGCATGGCCTCACCGGGACAATGACGAAATGGTGTCTAGGTTCGCTTAGCATATCAAGCTGCATATCACGGAAACGTGCTATCAGGCTGCATGCGAACATTATCTGGCGTATTGGTCAACGTGTGGTGGTGCAGCTTGGTGGACTGACTA